TTCTGTGGCTATTGGAAGGAAATATAAACGCTCTGGAGGTAGAGCAGGTGATAGCAAATGTCCCCTGGTGCAGTTGTCTGCACACAGAACATTAGTTGTTAAATATGTACTGGAGGCTGAATGATTTCTTTCCTTCCTTCTTTCTTTTCTTTTTTTTTTTCCCCCTCATTCTTCCCTCTCTTTTTCTTCTCACCACGACCATTGTTCAGAAGCAAATTGGAAATCTGGTAATTAGGCCCTGACTCACGGTGTAGTATTAGAGTCCCGAGCCAAAGTTCAACACCCTGAAATGAAATTTAAACCAATTAATCTGTTAGATTTTTATCGCTTGTCCGTGTTTTCTCAGCAATTCCCCCAGCACGTGGCCTTTGATCAACTCTCATACAAACGCTAAAATGTGTGCCTGCTGCTAGCAAGATGGGAATGACATTAACATGGTACTCATAAAACAATCAGAGCAGAGAAGCCCTCAAACAGGCAGGGCATGGTAATATTTAATAAAAGCACACACATAATCTTCAGAATTAGCATTTTGTGCCTTGCAGTACCTTTGGGAGAAGAGCTTTTATTTGTGGAGTGATCATTATTATAACAAAGAAGAGCTACCTAATAATTTCCACTTTAACTCTGCAATGTGCCACGAGCATTTCAGAGCCATTATGCTAAACTGTGGTGGGGTAATCATGTTATTGTCATAGTTTGAAGGAAAGAAAATCTCCTCTACTTTGGTGGCTGTTGGGGGTGGGGGAAGAGGTAAAAAAAAAAAAAAAAGGGCGAAGAAAAAAATCAACTTCAACTTTTATTTTTAATGGGATTTAGAACCAGGAATTGGCTTATCATCCTTGTGGTTACCACAGTGAAAATTCACTGGTGAAGAAGAAAGAATCTTTTATTAATTAAATTATTTACTAATTAAATGAAGATTTGGCTGGTAAAAGTGGTTTTGTATTCAATCAAATCCACCCCCCTCCCCTATTTTGTAATATTTTCATGGAGATAGAATTGTACTGATTATTACATTCCTGGGCTGAATTGAGTTTGTTTATAAATCTTTTCACCTTCAAATTCTACTGAATATATCCACTATGACTATTAAAAATGATCTCTCCTTGTCGTCCCCTTCATGTCTCTTTGGATATCTTGAATGAAAGAAAAACAGGTCCTTGGCTGCTCAGATGTTGTTTGGGCTTCCTCAGAGCAAAGCTTACCCAAAAAGAAGAGAGAAGGAGAGGCTTGGGATCTGTTAGTCAGCACAGCTGGGCTTTTTTTCTTTTTTTTTTTAAATTTGTATCAATGTGCTCCAAATAGTACCTTTATCTCTTACAGAATTAAGTGCTCTGTTATTCTGTTATTTAATTTTTATTATGATAACATATTACCTTAATGTGTGCTCATTGAAAACATTCAAACCACTTGGCTTTCTATAGAGTAAAATTTACCAGTCTCCCTGCCCCCTCAGCCCCACCCCAGCGCCATTGCTCTTTCATATGGATCCACTGGGGACAGTGGATGTACGTCCTTCCAGACCTTTGTTCATGTGTAACTACATACACACAAGCACAGGTGCACAGATAGGCTCCTATATATATCATTTTTTAAGTTAACAAAATCACATTATTCATTAGACTATAAATTGTGTTTTTACTTACCTAACCTACTTTGATATCTTTCCATGTCAGTTTATATAAATCTTTTCCACCCATTCTGATGGCACTCCTAATATTCTGTAGTAGGGATATATCATAATTTATTTAACCACTCTATTATTGGGGGCACCTAGACTCTTGAATTTTTTGCTGCAGTGAACTTTTGGATACCTGTAGTTTAGGTACATTTGCAGGTATTTCCTGAGCTGCTTTTAGTCTGGCAGGTTTGTGAATAGGATAAAAATGTAAAATGGTGGCCTAGGCGTTAAATTTACCCCCATAAACATTTTGTTTACAGCCTACACGTTTAAGAAAATTGAATTAGTTGCCAGCATTTAAAGATTGGGAAATTCACATAAAAATCTAGTTCCCAGCTTCTTTCAAAAGATCAGAAGACCAGACCACACTTGACCTGCATTTGTGTGGGGAGTACCAGTGGCTAGACCTTCCCCAGTTCTTAGTGTCAGGGGCCATTCATCTCATGCTTATTCTGAGACTCTGAGCTGCTGTATTCGTTTATGTTTCTTGCCTTGGCCTATATGAATCTGTGAGTTCTTAGTGACTGCCCTCGAGACTGATCTGTTTATCTAGTCACAGTGCCTTCTACCTTGTCTTATTGACATCTTAAAGTTCTTCATTTGGGGGAATATCCGGTGCACTGTTGGATAGTTAGCATCCTTGATTTCCAGGCACTAAATGCCACTAACATTACTTTCCCACCTCTGTCTCTCAGTGGGACAGCCCAGAGTCCTTTACATATTTTCTAAACTTCCCAGTGGGGAAATACCACAGAGCTTCCTTTCAAGACCACTATGATACACAGATGTATAGGAGCACCTTTAGAACCCTCTGAAGCCTAACTTCAGAAAAAAAGTCTGCATGACTTACTTGTTCTAGGAATGGCATCTAGTCTCTAAGCTAAGATAGTGGATGGTTGAGTACAGAGGTAGGATGGATCGAAGAGTATGTCACTCTCTTCTTGGAGTACTTCCTTCAAGGGTTCTTTTCTCTAAAAAGCTAGGAAGATGGTGTCACATATTGTCTCCTCATCATGTTGTCTCTGGAGGCTTGATGATCTTTCTTTCTTTTAGCTAGTTGACAGTTAGCTTTGTTTCTGGTTGGTTGCTCACAGAATTTGAAAACATTATCACTTTCTTAGGAACTGTTTGAAAGCACATAACACACATAGACATATATACTTACATGCCCTTTTTATCCTACAAATAACAAATGGAAAGAAGCGGGAGGGGGTCAACTCTAAAACCAGCTTCGCCATACTATCAGAACAACTTTGCTATAGGAGAGTCTCTTAGAGATCCAACACAGTCTTCTGCCTCCTTTTGTGCAATGCTAAGTAAGCCTGGAGGAGTCTAAAGTGTGCAAGCACACTTCTTTACGTAGAGAAGTGTGCTTGCATGATTACAAAAATAAAATTTAAAAAATTAAAAGAAAGCTAATACAGATAATGAACATCAAGACTATTTTGTGGTTTATGAAGGTAGTCACAGGGGTAGCATTTAATGATACCATTAGATTTCGCACTTTGCCATTAGGCAAGACTCTTTCAAGACCAGTTCAGTTAAACCAAGATCCTATTCTTCTCAGAAGTATCTGGAGATATGGCACCCTTTCTGCTCTACTTTAACAATGAAGTATGCTGAGTCAGAAATTAAGAATTGAGATTTTGAGACATTAACCACCATGTTTCCAAACTGCTTTTATTTTAGGAATTCTACATAATTGTTACATGTACTTTTTTTCTGTTATAAATGTCTTGAAATCATACATAATATTCTACCTTGGGTTTGGGAATACTCAGTCATGCATTTAAACATCTTTATTTCTAAAGAAAAAATTTTGCTTAAGAAAAAGCCCTGTGCCTATGGAGCATTGATCACAACCTTTATGTGTGTTAAAAATTGGACAAGAATTTTCAAGTTATGAATCATTTACATTTTCTTGATTAATTATTTTGTTTTGGGGAGAAAGTGAAGGAGAGAAAAGGCATCTGAACTACCTAGTTTTAGTTATAAATGCATTACTGTGAGTTCAGCCAACATGAAATGTTTAGTTTGGATATTTCCTAATTTCTCTGTGTTATTTTATAAGATGAATTTGAATCAAAATCAAACCCATTCTACTTGTTTGTGTGGTGGCACGTGAACGATGGTCCCGCCGGGATGGGCTTAGTATTTTCTTTTCTTCTTGCAAAAGTTAAAGCATGACATTTTGCCAAATTTGACAAAGGCCAATAGTTTTTTTTCCAGCTTCTTCCCGTTAAAATTAACTGGTGCTCTCCTTGGCTTCAATATTTGGAAAGTCAGTCTTGGATACTTAATAAACTTTTTTATTAAAGAGAAGGGTCTCGTTTCCTCTCCTTGTGCAATATCTCCCTTGCTTTAGAATTTTGCTTTGTTTCTGCTCATAAAAGTAATCATGAGAACAACAGCATGGCACTGTGGAGTTAAAAATCATTGGTGCCCTCTGAGAGATTTCAAAAACATAATCCTACAATTACATTTATGCCTAGCAATTGCATTGAAAGTATGCTGTACTCATCAGACAAACCACCTCCAGTCTGTTTAGAATCATGGTATTTGTAAATTATTTCCCATCTCCAAGGGCCATTTATAAGGGAAAGAGAAGAGATATGAAATTTTTTTAAACAAGTCCTTTCTAGAGTTTTATGCCTGGGAATGACAACAAAGCAAAGGTCATGAGACATTTTGTGGTTCAGCCCTGACTCAGCTATTTGGTTACATAATTCACCCTGAGTGACCTTCATACTTTACATCTATAAAATGGGGTCTGTGTCATTTGTTGAAAAAAAGCTTAATGATTTTTGTGAGAAATGTTGCTGTGTTCATGTTATAGGTAGAAGGCATGGAGCAAGAATGTTTTCCTGCTCCAGCCTCCTCTCTTTCTCACTTCCCTTTGGGCAGCAATGCTATCTAAAAATCTATCAATTTAACTTTGGGAAGTATGTTTAATCAGGAAGCAATTCTATAATGTTTCCGATGTGTTCCAAGAAGTCACCTAATTTTTTTTAATCTTTAACATCTCATGAATTAAAATTTGCTTCTGTATTTTATTTCATAAAATTTCGTGTTTGAAAATTATTTGGGTAAAATATTTGTATGTCAATAGAAACAATGAAAAAAATGCTTTTAAAAATTGAAAATTGCACCCTTAGGTTTTAGGTCCTAAAGCAGCTAGAAAATTCTGAGATCTTGAGGGACTTCCTGTTAGTGAAAAGATAAAAGATATATTTTTTTCTTTTTCTCGAGTCTCCCATCATTAAAGTTTGGTTCTAACAGCAGACTCCTTCTCTTTTTCATGTGTGTTGAAAAGCAGCTACTCCCTGTATCAAAGCCATCAGCCCGAGTGAAGGATGGACGACGGGAGGCGCGACTGTGATCATCATAGGGGACAATTTCTTTGATGGGTTACAGGTCATATTCGGTACCATGCTGGTCTGGAGTGAGGTAGGTGTTGTCTGAACATTAATATCTAATAGGTTGGTCTAGTTGAGGATACTGTCTACACTTGAATTTCTAATAGAGTGTGTAGAATTTTGTAGTGCCACCCTGGGTGGGCCAGCTCTGGTCTACAGAACTCTGGGAAACCAGGAGACATGGGTTGGGTGTACCTGGAGGCACCACTGTCTACTGGAATGACTTCTGTCCTCTGGCCCTTAAGCACCAGGAGAGCTTCTGTTTTGTCATTTGTCCTCTTGGACTAGCTGTGGCGTGAAGGTCCTATTGTGTACTGGGAATGGGAAAGGAGATGCAAAGTCACAAAATATATAGGAAAAGCCCCATTCAAACTTTGACAAGGTAGTAATCGTGAATATTTGTAGACAGGGCCTGCTATAGGCCCATCTTCAAGGAACACCATTCCTATGACAGTAATAATCCAAGTGTAGGTGGTTCTTGACTTATTCAGTGACTCTTCATTCAAGAGTGAGTGATTTACCAGGGGAACCTCAAAGAACCAAAGACTTTATCCAGGCCCAGGAATTTACAGCTCACAGGCCTCCCAGTATGTGACTGCAGCCACATGAAAATGACTTTGTTCTGTGTGCGTAGTGCTTTCTAAGCACTGTGATCATTATTTTAACCTGCCAGTTGACTTTTCTGGCAATAATCAATGTTAACTCAAGACTATAAAATGTAAACCTCACCATTATAGAGATGGCATGGAAAACTTGCCTTTGCCTTCTATATTCTGGGCCTAGATTTCTTGAATAGCATGCCCAGAGCTCTTTCTCTTTCACTTCCCCAAAGTTTAGAATAAAATCCATGCTAGGGCTATAAGGTACCACTGAGCTCATTCATCCTGCTTGCTTTACAGACAGTCGTGTGAACCACTGAACTTTTCTGGGACTTATTGTACACTAGGCTGTGTGCTCATTGCTTGACGTAGATCATCTCAATATTCCCTCTGTGCCATGGAGTAGATACTCTTAGCATGTATCTTTTCTTAATAAAGGTATTAAGGCTTAGAGATAATGCTTACAAAACCCCGAAGCAGCTGCCCAGAGCCCATGAAGCATGGCTCATACGTATGTAGCCACACAAAGAAGTCAGCAGCAGAACTGGAGCTAGAACTCTGACTTTTTACTTCCATTTCTAGCTGTCCTACCATGACGCCGCTGTTCAGCCTATCTAGATACTTTGTGTTTTCTCTCTAGGTGGGCCATAGAGGTGAGCGGAGTTAAGACTGTGATAGTTGAATATGTTTATCTTTCCAACCGGAGCCTGTCCTTTTTAAGTCTTCTATGTGCACTTCTCCCTGGCAGTAACCCGCTCAGGCCAGCCCCTTGCCAGCCTGTACTGCCACTGCTTTTGTATTTCCCATGCTGCTGAGTAGCGGTATGCACTTGGCCAGAGAATCAAAGCTCTCGTAAAACTGAATCAGAGATGGGTTTTTCAGTCCACCATACTAATTTTTTTTTTTTTTAATTTTTTTTTTCAACGTTTATTTATTTTTGGGACAGAGAGAGACAGAGCATGAACGGGGGAGGGGCAGAGAGAGAGGGAGACACAGAATCGGAAACAGGCTCCAGGCTCCGAGCCATCAACCCAGAGCCCGACGCGGGGCTCGAACTCACGGACCGCGAGATCGTGACCTGGCTGAAGTCGGCCGCTTAACCGACTGCGCCACCCAGGCGCCCCGTGTCCACCATACTAATTGTTGTCCAAGTTGGAACATTCCCGGCATGAAATGTGGACTGAGCTTTAGCTGACGACTGCACCCCATTCTTTGTTAGAGCCATTGGGTTGTAAAATTAGAAGCATCACATACAGGGCATGTTTTGCCGCCGGTCTGGTGCCTTCATCCCTGCTGGAGACAGCAGTCCTCACAAAGACAGCTTCTGGCAAGTTGTGGGTTATATCTTCATCCCTTTCTATCCCTCATTCTGTTGCTTATCATTGAAGTTGGGAGAGGGGAAGAATAAATATAATATGGACTTCTTGCTCTGTATTACGGTAGTCAAAGTGAGGCCTGAGAACTGGCAGTAAGTCTTATTGAACCTCTGAGAATAAGGTGGGTTAGTCTGAAGCTTCCTTTAAAAGTTTATGTCGTCTTAGCCCAACATTGCATTGGTTATGGAACAAGGACTTTGATATATCAGGAAATCATTATTTGTACTCCCACCTTGTTCCCAGCCAAGGCCCTTGTGTTTTCTTTCTGTTCCTCCATATTCTTGCCCTCTTTTGGGAACAGATAAGGAAGGTTAAATTCTAATTTAGATTTATCTGAATTACTTTAAAGGATCTGTTTCCATATAACAAAATCAATGCAAGTCATGAAACTTTGTCCTTCTTCCTCAGTCCCTCCACTGCCACTGGCTTGCATGTACCAGAAGCCTCTCACAATGAATCTTATGAGTCCAGCTAGGAGGTGAGGGTGGGGCGTGCATGCTCCTTCTTTGCCCACCTCCTCCTCCCAAACTGCTCTCATGTGTGAGCATGCCATAAATCAACTATGACTCTTTCCCAGTGGAAACCTACCAGATGGTTTCCAAAATGTAGATATTCTTTCAAAATAAGTAAATCCTCTGCAGCATTAGCAATTGGGTGTCTGAATGGAGGACTTTAATTTGGGTTGCTATTGCAATAGTCTTGACATTCAGGAAAATGAGCCTTGCAGAGGTGAACTTTTTGTAAATATTCTAAACTATATTTACATTTTCATACAGGCTATTTGAAAGACGTGATGTTCTCTCTCTTTTAGTGGAGGGAGAGAATTTGGTACTGCCTCAAATCCAAAAATCCATTGTATAATAAAGAGAAGTAGCTCACATTTACTAAGGGTTTTATCATGTGTAGGCACTTTATGGGTATTATTTTATTTGATCCTCGTGATATCCCTGTGTTAGATATATATGAATGAAATGAGTGTCAGAGAGGTTTAAGAAACTTGCCCATTATCACACAGACTGACAGCGCTAGAGGTGGCATTTGTAATATTGTGTATGTTTTTACAGAGGAAATAAAAGCCAAAGGTACCGACAGAGAAAGTGGAGTCTTACCAAAAGGAAGAAGGACAGAAATAGGAGAGAGAACAAAACACCCATAGTAATCCAAGTATGGTAGTAGAAGTAGTAGTAATAGCAATAGTAGCAATAGTAACAGTGACTGTGGTGGTTGCTTTTAATCCCATAACGTTACATAAATGCCTTTCATTTTGGTAGAGGCAAAAAATATCAGACAGTGCTGGGGCCATTTCTCCAGGCTTCCACTGGATACAATCAGAACTCAATGCTGTGAATATTTAAGAGAGGATATCTCTGAAAGATCTGTGGAAAAACGTGTAGAGTATGACTAATATTAGCTAACATTCACTGAGCACTTAGTTGCTGCCAGGTACTATGTGCTGAGTATTTGGCATGGCTCTCGTTCAAGCCTCGTAACATCTGTATACCATGCTGTTCTCATTTTACTGATGAGGAAATTGAGGCTTGGGAAGTTAAGTAAGCTGTTCAGTTATCGGATGGTAGAGATGGGATTTGAACCAGTCTGACTCCAGGGTTCACTTTCTTTTTCTTTTTTTTTCTTTTAAGCATAATCGTCTCTAAATCTAGAGATATGCCTTTTAATCTTTTTATTTTGAGAGAGAGTGGGGTGGGAGAGAAGCAGAGGAAGAGAGAGAGAGATAATCTTAAGCAGCCTCCATGCTCAGCATGGAGCCCAAAGGGGTGCTTGATCCTGTGACCCTGGGATCATTACTGGAGCCGAAATCAAGAGTTGGACACTCAACCAACTGAGCAACCCAGGTACCCCCAGGGCTCACCTTCTTAGCTGTCCATGATTTAGCCTACACCAAAATTGTTACCCTAGTGTTTTACCACATCAGACAAGGGTGTAATGCTCATCATTGCCATTAATGCGTTGTACTGCAGTATGTGTGGGGAGTATCTTAACAGTTATTATCACCTTCCAGGTTAAGGTGGACTTGGGATACAGAGAGGTTAGAGCAGTCCCTTCATTTTTTAGTTGTATAGGCTTGAAGGTGGAGCCATTGGCTTCTAGGAAGGACTTTTCCCTGTGAAGAATACATGCCTTGTGTTAGGGGCAGAAGACAACCTCTTCCCTTGTCTGTGTAAGAGACCTTAGGTAAGACAGTTAACCTGTTTGGGCCTCATCTCTAGATAGGACTCCTATCTACCCAGGTTTTCATTCCCTGGCCACATGATCTCTTGAGGTTATGCCACCTCTAAGATCTGATACTTCCAATTTTAAGCAGACTTTATCTCTTCTCCATTTCCTCACTCTATAGCCCAAAGCACTCAGGGAGCAGACTGGTGGGCCAGGACAAGCAGATAACATTTTAGATTAGCAGCTGATGCTATTATTTGGAGTCTTTTTTTAGCTAAAGAATTTTAAAAAGAATGAGAGAAAATAGGGCTGGCTTAATTTCCCCTCATCTGTGCTCTTTCCCTACCAACCCAATCTTTTGCAAATGAGTAGTTCAGTTTAGCTTGCTGATTGCCCCCTGAAGGTTGGGAAAAAGAAAGGTGGCACTCCATTGCTCCTAACTCAGGGCTGCCTTCTGTGAGTTCCCAAGTTTGGGGTGAACTACATGGCTTTCTTGTGAATTTGGTTTACCATATTTGTTATTCTTCCTTATTCTTTCTACAGGGCAAAATATTATATTGATACTCTTATGCTTCTTATTCTGCCTCTACCCAAAAGACTTAACCAAAAAATTGGTCTTTGTAGTGTTTTATATATAAATCCAGGAAAATCAACAGGGTTGATGTGTGCTCATGATTAATATGTGTTGAGTTTTTTCTTTTTCTTTTTTTTTTTTTTTACGTTTTATTTATTTTTGAGACAGAGAGAGACAGAGCATGAACAGGGGAGGGGCAGAGAGAGAGGGAGACACAGAATCCGAAACAGGCTCCAGGCTCGGAGCTGTCAGCACAGAGCCCGACGCGGGGCTCGAACTCACGGACCATGAGATCATGACCTGAGCC